GGTTGTGGCTCACCCTGGGACAGGGACAATGGGACAGGGACAGGGGGACAGGGGGACAGTGGGACAGGGGGACAACGGGACAGGTTCTCGCTGGTCATCAGGGTCACCTGGTGGTTGTGGCTCACCCTGGGGGGGACAGGGGGACAGGGGGACAATGGGACAGGGGGACAGTGGGACAGGGGGACAATGGGACAGGTTCTCGCTGGTCATCAGGGTCACCCGGTTGTGGTGGCTCAACCTGGGGGGTGGTGGGGGACGGGGACGTGAGGACAGGGGGACAGTGAGGACAGGGGGACAGTGGGACAGGGGGACAATGGGACAGGGGGACAGTGAGGACAGGGGGACAGTGGGACAGGGGGACAATGGGACAGGGGGACAATGCGACAGGTTCCAGAGCCCTCCCCAGTTTTTGGGGCTCCCCAAGGTTCTGGGGTCCCCCCAGAGCCCCTGCTCAGGTTTTAGGGTCCCCCCAGAGCCCCCGCCCAGTTTTTGGGGTGCCCCCAGACCCACTTGCTGAGGTGCCCGATGACGTATTTGAAGACCTCGTAGTTCTCGCGGGGGAACTTCCTGAGCACCTCCCTCAGCGCGTGGAGCTTCTGCTCCCGGTCGTTGATCTCTGGCGGGAGGGGGAAAAACCGGGAATTCGGGGCCCCTGGAATCGCCCCTCCCCCGCAATTCCCGCTCCTGGAATCGCCCCTCCCCCGCAATTCCCGCTCCTGGAATCGCCCCTCCCCCGCAATTCCCGCTCCTGGAATCGCCCCTCCCCCGGAATTCAGGGCTCCTGGAATCGCCCCTCCCCCGGAATTCGGGGCCCTGGAATCGCCCCTCCCCCGGAATTCCCGCTCCCGGAATCGCCCCTCCCCCGGAATTCCCACTCCTGGAATCGCCCCTCCCCCGCCATTCCCGCTCCTTGAATCGCCCCTCCCCCGGAATCCCGCTCCTGGAAACTGCCCTCCCCCGGAATTCCCGCTCTGGAATCGCCCCTTCACGGAATTCCCGCTCTTGAATTCCCCTCCCCCGCGAATTCCCGTCCTGGGAATCGCCCCTCCCCCGCGCAAATTTCCCGCTCCTTGGCAGGCCCCTCCCCCGCAATTTCCCGCCCACTGGACATCGCCCTCCCCCGCAATTCCGCTCCTGGAAATCGCCCCTCCCCCGCCAACCGGCTCCTGGACTCACCTCCCCGGAATTCCCGTCTGGATCGCCACTCCCCCGCAATTTCCCCGCTCCTGGAATCGCCCCTCCCCCGGAATTCCCGCTCCTGGAATCGCCCCTCCCCCGCAATTCCCGCTCCTGGAATCGCCCCTCCCCCGGAATTCGGGGCCCTGGAATTGCCCCTCCCCCGCAATTCCCGCTCCTGGAATCGCCCCTCCCCCGGAATTCCCGCTCCTGGAATCGCCCCTCCCCCGGAATTCCCGCTCCTGGAATCGCCCCTCCCCCGCAATTCCCGCTCCTGGAATCGCCCCTCCCCCGGAATTCCCGCTCCCAGGGGAAGGGGGGGGGGTTTGGGGCCAAGGAACCCCCCAAAAATCACCCCCCGGCCCTCGGGGGGATGAGGGGAGAGGGAAACTGGGATTGGGGGGTGGGATCAGCAGTGGGAGGGGTTAAATATGTAAATGAGGGGGGTGGGGTTAATTACGGGGGTTAATTAAGGGATCAGAGCCCCCAGATCATTAATTCCCCCCAAAAACAACCAGGACTGGGGGGGGAATCTGGGATTGGGGGTGGGAATTGAGGGGTGGGATCAGCGGTGGGAGGGGTTAAATATGCAAATGAGGAGGGTGGGGTTAATTAATGGGGTTAATTAATGGGGTTAATTAAAGGATCAGGGCCACAAGATCATCGTTCCCCCCAAAAACAACCAGGACTGGGGGGGGGAATCTGGGATTGGGGGTGGGAATTAAAGGGGGTGGGATCAGCGGTGGGAGGGGTTAAATATGCAAATGAGGAGGGCGGGGTTAATTAATGGGGTTAATTAATGGGGTTAATTAAAGGATCAGGGCCACAAGGTCATCGATCCCCCCCAAAAAACAACCAGGACTGGGGGGGGAATCTGGGATTGGGGGTGGGAATTGAGGGGCGGGATCAGAGGTGGGAGGGGTTAAATATGCAAATGAGGAGGGTGGGGTTAATTAATGGGGTTAATTAATGGGGTTAATTAAAGGATCAGGGCCACAAGATCATCGTTCCCCCCAAAAACAACCAGGACTGGGGGGGGAATCTGGGATTGGGGGTGGGAATTGAGGGGTGGGATCAGCGGTGGGAGGGGTTAAATATGCAAATGAGGAGTGTGGGGTTAATTAATGGGGTTAATTAAAGGGTCAGGCACCCAGATCATTGTTCCCCCCAAAAACAACCAGGACTGGGGGGGGGGGGGAATCTGGGATTGGGGGGGGGAATTGAGGGGGTGGGATCAGAGGTGGGAGGGATTAAATATGCAAATGAGGAGGGCGGGGTTAATTAATGGGGTTAATTAAAGGATCAGGGCCACAAGATCATTGTTCCCCCCAAAAACAACCAGGACTGGGGGGGGAATCTGGGATTGGAAGGTGGGAATTGAGGGGTGGGATCAGCGGAGGGAGGGGTTAAATATGCAAATGAGGAGGGCGGGGTTAATTAATGGGGTTAATTAATGGGGTTAATTAAAGGATCAGGGCCACAAGATCATCGATCCCCCCCAAAAAACAACCAGGACTGGGGGGGGAATCTGGGATTGGGGGTGGGAATTGAGGGGTGGGATCAGCGGTGGGAGGGGTTAAATATGCAAAGGAGGCGGGAGTGGCTAATTAAGGGGGCTAATTAACTCACTGTGGGCCTCCACCAGCTCCACCTGCATGGCGTAGGGCACCAGCGGCTCCGGCAGCTCCGAGAAGAAGCTTTTCATGGCCCCGGCCACCGTGTTGACGGTGAAATCCTTCTCGGCCAAGTCCAGCCCGTGGTCTGGGGGGGCACAACCGGGGGGGTCAGAGCCTCAAAACCCAGCCAAGGGAGAGCTCGGGGGGGCTCAGACCCCCAAAAACATCCCCAGGGAGCAGTTTGGGGGGGCTCAGACCCCAAAAACATCCCCAGGGAGCAGTTTGGGGGGGCTCAGACCCCAAAAACATCCCCAGGGAGCAGTTTGGGGGGCTCAGACCCCCAAAAACATCCCCAGGGAGCAGTTTGGGGGGCTCAGACCCCAAAAACATCCCCAGGGAGCAGTTTGGGGGGCACAGACCCCAAAAACATCCCCAGGGAGCTCAAGGAGCAGTTTTGGGGGGCTCAGACCCCAAAAACATCCCCAGGGAGCTCAAGGAGCAGTTTGGGGGGGCTCAGACCCCAAAAACATCCCCAGGGAGCTCAAGGAGCAGTTTGGGGGGGCTCAGACCCCAAAAACATCCCCAGGGAGCAGTTTGGGGGGCACAGACCCCAAAAACATCCCCAGGGAGCAGTTTGGGGGGCACAGACCCCAAAAACATCCCCAGGGAGCAGTTTGGGGGGGCTCAGACCCCAAAAACATCCCCAGGGAGCAGTTTGGGGGGCACAGACCCCAAAACCCACCCTGGGATCCCGTTTTCGGTGGTTCCCAGACCCATTTCCGTGGTGCCCAGACCCATTTTTGGGGTTCCCAGACCCATTTTCGGGGTTCCCAGACCCATTTTTGGGGTTCCCAGACCCATTTTCGGGGTTCCCAGACCCATTTTCAGGGTGCCCGGACCCATTTTCAGGGTTCCCAAACCCATTTTCGGGGTTCCCGGACCCATTTTCAGGGTTCCCAGACCCATTTCCGGGGTTCCCAGACCCATTTTCAGGGTTCCCAAACCCATTTTTGGGGTTCCCAGACCCGTTTTTGAGGTTCCCAGACCCGTTTTTGGGGTTCCCAGACCCGTTTCCGGGGTTCCCAGACCCATTTTCAGGGTTCCCAGACCCATTTTCAGGGTTCCCAGCCCCGTTTTCGGGGTGCCCGTGGGTGTTACCCTGGTCAAACTGTCGCTGCAGACTCTCCATCTCCGACTTGTTCCCGCTGACCCGGTAAATCCCTTCCGTGCTCAGCCCTGCGGGAACAGCACAAACCTCATTCCCAGCTCCCCCAAAATCCCAGAGTTTTCCTTCCCCGCCCACCCCAAAGCTCGGGTTGAACTTTAGGTCGGGTTTTTGGGGGGTTTTTGGGGGCAGAAAACCCGGAGGAAGGAGAAGGAGCTGCTCCTTTCCCTCCTTTCCTTGGGCTGCCCCTTCCAGGGGAAAATTCCAGAGGAGGGGGAAAAAAAAAAAACCCTGGAGCTCGTTCCGGGGTTAATTGGGGCTGTCCCGGGGGGAGAACTCGGCACCAAAAACCCCTGGGAGGGGAAGGGGGACCCCAAAAAGGGTCCCACCCCGAGGGGCTGGGGGGGGACCAGCAAAGCCTGAGGGTGGTGGTTCTCCAGGAATAATAAAGTTCCTTCTCCCAGGGAATAATGAAGCATCCAGGGAAGAGTTTGATGCTTCCCAAAAAACCTGAGGAGCCCCAAAAAAGGTCCCACCCACAGGATCAGCCCTGAAGGGTCTGGGAGGGGACCTGAAGGCCCAGGGCTGGTGTTTCTCCAGGGAACAACAAAGTTCCTTCTCCCAGGGAATGATGAAGGATCCAGGGAATAATGAAGCATCCAGGGAAGAGTTTGATGCTTCCCAAAAAACCTGAGGAGCCCCAAAAAAGGTCCCACCCACAGGATCAGCCCTGAAGGGTCCGGGAGGGGACCCGAAGGCCCAGGGCTGGTGGTTCTCCAGGGAACAACAAAGTTCCTTCACCCAGGGAATGATGAAGGATCCAGGGAATGACGAAGGATCCAGGGAAGAGTTTGATGCTTCCCAAAAAACCTGTGGAGCCCCAAAAAAGGTCCCACCCACAGGATCAGCCCTGAAGGGTCCGGGAGGGGACCCGAAGGCCCAGGGCTGGTGTTTCTCCAGGAATAATAAAGTTCCTTCACCCAGGGAATGACGAAGGATCCAGGGAAGAGTTTGATGCTTCCCAAAAAACCTGAGGAGCCCCAAAAAAGGTCCCACCCACAGGATCAGCCCTGAAGGGTCTGGGAGGGGACCCAAAAGCCCGAGGGTGGTGTTTCTCCAGCAGGTTCCTTCTCCTGGGGAATAACAAATCCTCCTCCTCCCGGGGGACACCGAGGGACACTGGGACGACCCCGGCTCTTCCCAAGGATCCAGGGAAGAGTTTGATGCTTCCCAAAAAACCTGAGGAGCCCCAAAAAAGGTCTCACCCACAGGATCAGCCCTGAAGGGTCTGGGAGGGGACCTGAAGGGCCAAGGTTGGTGGTTCTCCAGGGAACAACAAAGTTCCTTCACCCAGGGAATAATGAAGGATCCAGGGAAGAGTTTGATGCTTCCCAAAAAACCTGAGGAGCCCCAAGAAAGGTCCCACCCACAGGATCAGCCCTGAAGGGTCTGGAATGGGACCTGAAGGCCCAGGGCTGGTGGTTTCTCCAGGAATAATAAAGTTCCTTCTCCCAGGGAATGATGAAGGATCCAGGGAATAATGAAGCATCCAGGGAAGAGTTTGATGCTTCCCAAAAAACCTGTGGAGCCCCAAAAAAGGTCCCACCCACAGGATCAGCCCTGAAGGGTCTGGGATAGGACCCAAAAGCCCGAGGGTGGTGTTTCTCCAGCAGGTTCCTTCTCCTGGGGAATAACAAATCCTCCTCCTCCCGGGGGACACCGAGGGACACTGGGACGACCCCGGCTCTTCCCAAGGATCCAGGGAAGAGTTTGATGCTTCCCAAAAAACCTGAGGAGCCCCAAAAAAGGTCCCACCCACAGGATCAGCCCTGAAGGGTCTGGGAGGGGACCCGAAGGCCCAGGGCTGGTGTTTCTCCAGGAATAATAAAGTTCCTTCACCCAGGGAATGATGAAGGATCCAGGGAATGACGAAGGATCCAGGGAAGAGTTTGATGCTTCCCAAAAAACCTGAGGAGCCCCAAAAAAGGTCCCACCCACAGGATCAGCCCTGAAGGGTCTGGGAGGGGACCTGAAGGGCCAAGGTTGGTGGTTCTCCAGGGAACAACAAAGTTCCTTCTCCCAGGGAATAACGAAGGATCCAGGGAATGACGAAGGATCCAGGGAAGAGTTTGATGCTTCCCAAAAAACCTGAGGAGCCCCAAAAAAGGTCCCACCCACAGGATCAGCCCTGAAGGGTCCGGGAGGGGACCCGAAGGCCCAGGGCTGGTGTTTCTCCAGGAATAATAAAGTTCCTTCGCCCAGGGAATGATGAAGGATCCAGGGAATAATGAAGCATCCAGGGAAGAGTTTGATGCTTCCCAAAAAACCTGTGGAGCCCCAAAAAAGGTCCCACCCACAGGATCAGCCCTGAAGGGTCCGGGAGGGGACCCGAAGGCCCAGGGCTGGTGGTTTCTCCAGGGAATAACAAACCCTCCTCCTCCTCCTCCTCCTCCCGGGGGGACGCCGACGGAGACCGGGCCGAGCCCGGCTCTTCCCAAAAATCCCCTGGGAGGGGGTTTCCTCACCCGTGGCCTCGATGTACTCGATGCAGCGCTCGATGAAGACGGGGATGGGCCGCTCGGGGGACACGACGCTGGCCAGGGGCACCCCGAAGTAGCTGCTCTCCCACGTGCTCTTGGTGACCGAGGGCCGCGCCTTCGGCTTTGGTTTCTGCCGGGGTTCGGGAGGAGTTTTTACTGGTTTGTCCCGGGTTTGGTGTTTTTGGGGCTCTTCTCGATTTGGGGGGGGTTGGGTGTTTTTAATAATTTCTGTGCCTGAGGGACGCCACCGGTGACCGACTGGTGCCACCACCAGTGACCAACTGGTGTCATCACCCCCACCAGTGACCCCTTGGAGGCACCACCAGTGACCAACTGGTGTCACCACCCCCACCACTGACCCCTTGGAGGCACCACCAGTGACCAACTGGTGCCACCACCAGTGACCAACTGGTGCCACTGTGCCCACCAGGGACCAACTGGTGTCATCACCCCCACCACTGACCCCTTGGAGGCACCACCAGTGACCAACTGGTGCCACCACCAGTGACCAACTGGTGCCACTGTGCCCACCAGTGACCAACTGGTGCCACCACCAGTGACCAACTGGTGCCACCACCCCCACCACTGACCCCTGGGGGACACCACCAGTGACCAACTGGTGCCACCACCAGTGACCAACTGGTGCCACTGTGCCCACCAGTGACCCCTGGGAGACACCACCAGTGACCAACTGGTGCCACCACCAGTGACCAACTGGTGCCACCACCAGTGACCAACTGGTGTCACCACCCCCACCAGTGACCCCTTGGAGGCACCACCAGTGACCCCTGGGGGACACAACCAGTGACCAACTGGTGCCACTGTGCCCACCAGTGACCCCTGGGGGACACCACCAGTGACCAACTGGTGTCATCATCCCCACCACTGACCCCTGGGAGGCACCACCAGTGACCAACTGGTGCCACCACCAGTGACCAACTGGTGCCACTGTGCCCACCAGTGACCCCTGGGGGACACCACCAGTGACCAACTGGTGTCACCACCCCCACCAGTGACCCCTTGGAGGCACCACCAGTGACCAACTGGTGTCATCACCACTGACCCCTTGGAGGCACCACCAGTGACCAACTGGTGCCACCACCAGTGACCAACTGGTGTCACCACCCCCACCAGTGACCCCTTGGAGGCACCACCAGTGACCCCTGGGGGACACCACCAGTGACCAACTGGTGTCACTGTGCCCACCAGTGACCCCTTGAGGACACCACCAGTGACCAACTGGTGCCACCACCCCCACCAGTGACCCCTGGGGGACACCACCAGTGACCAGCTGGATGTGCCACCACCCCCACCACTGGTCCCTTGGATGGACCATTCCCTCCAGAGTTGGGCTCCGTGACCTCGTGGGTCCCTCCCAACTCAGAACATCCCCTGATCCAACCAGGAGTGACCCCAAAACAACTCCTCTACCACCCCCAGCCCCCCTTAGCCAGGACAGACCTTGGTGGTCCTCCTGAGGCTGCGCAGGACGTTCAACCTCCTGGATGGACCATTCCCTCCAGAGCTGGGCTCCACGACCCTCTTGGGTCCCTCCCAACCCAGAACATTCCCTGATCCAACCAGGAGTGATTTCCACCACCCCCAGCCCCCCTCAGCCAGGACAGACCTTGGTGGTCCTCCTGAGGCTGCACAGGATGTTCAACCTCCTGGATGGACCATTCCCTCCAGAGCTGGGCTCCATGATCCTCATGGATCCCTCCCAACTCAGAACATTCCCTGATCCAACCAGGAGTGATTTCCACCACCCCCAGCCCCCCCCTCAGCCAGGACAGACCCTGGTGGTCCTCCTGAGGCTGCACAGGATGTTCAACCTCCCGGATGGACCATTCCCTCCAGAGCTGGGCTCCATGATCCTCATGGATCCCTCCCAACTCAGAACATTCCCTGATCCAAACCCAACTTCTCCAGGACCCCAAAGCCCACCCCACCACCCCCTCAGCCAGGACACACCTTGGTTGCCCTCCTGAGGCTGCGCAGGACGTTCAACCTCCTGGATGGACCATTCCCTCCAGAGCTGGGCTCCACGACCCTCTTGGGTCCCTCCCAACCCAGAACATTCCCTGATCCAACCAGGAGTGATTTCCACCACCCCCAGCCCCCCCCTCAGCCAAGACACACCTTGGTGGTCCTCCTGAGGCTGCGTAGGACGTTCAACCTCCTGGATGGACCATTCCCTCCAGAGCTGGGCTCCACGACCCTCTTGGGTCCCTCCCAACCCAGAACATTCCCTGATCCAACCAGGAGTGATTTCCACCACCCCCAGCCCCCCCCTCAGCCAGGACAGACCTTGGTGGTCCTCCTGAGGCTGCGCAGGATGTTCCTCCTCCTGGAGGGACCATTCCCTCCAGAGCTGGGCTCCACGACCCTCTTGGGACATTCCCTGATCCAAACCCAACTTCTCCAGGACCCCAAAGCCCACCCCACCACCCCCTCAGCCAGGACACACCTTGGTGGTCCTCCTGAGGCTGCGCAGGACGTTCAACCTCCTGGATGGACCATTCCCTCCAGAGCTGGGCTCCACGACCCTCTTGGGTCCCTCCCAACCCAGAACATTCCCTGATCCAACCAGGAGTGATTTCCACCACCCCCAGCCCCCCCCTCAGCCAGGACAGACCTTGGTGGTCCTCCTGAGGCTGCGCAGGATGTTCCTCCTCCTGGATGGACCATTCAGGGCTCCACGACCCTCTTGGAACATTCCCTGATCCAAACCCAACTTCTCCAGGACCCCAAAGCCCACCCCACCACCCCCTCAGCCAGGACACACCTTGGTGGTCCTCCTGAGGCTGCGCAGGACGTTCAACCTCCTGGATGGACCATTCCCTCCAGAGCTGGGCTCCACGACCCTCTTGGGTCCCTCCCAACCCAGAACATTCCCTGATCCAACCAGGAGTGATTTCCACCACCCCCAGACCCCCTTAGCCAGGATAGACCCTGGTGGTCCTCCTGAGGCTGCGCAGGACGTTCCTCCTCCTGGATGGACCATTCCCTCCAGAGCTGGGCTCCATGATCCTCTTGGAACATTCCCTGATCCAAACCCAACTTCTCCAGGACCCCAAAGCCCACCCCACCACCCCCTCAGCCAGGACAGACCTTGGTTGCCCTCCTGAGGCTGCGCAGGATGTTCAACCTCCTGGATGGACCATTCCCTCCAGAGCTGGGCTCCACGACCCTCTTGGGTCTCTCCCAACCCAGAACATTCCCTGATCCAACCAGGAGTGATTTCCACCACCCCCAAACCCCCTCAGCCAGGACAGACCTTGGTGGTCCTCCTGAGGCTGCGCAGGATGTTCCTCCTGCTGGATGGACCATTCCCTCCAGAGTTGGGCTCCACGACCCTCTTGGGTCCCTCCCAACCCAGAACATCCCCTGATCCAACCAGGAGTGACCCCAAAACAACTCCTCTACCACCCCCAAACCCCCTCAGCCAGGACAGACCCTGGTGGCCCTCCTGAGGCTGCGCAGGACGTTCAACCTCCTGGATGGACCATTCCCTCCAGAGCTGGGCTCCACGACCCTCTTGGGTCCCTCCCAACCCAGAACATTCCCTGATCCAACCAGGAGTGATTTCCACCACCCCCAGCCCCCCCCTCAGCCAGGACAGACCTTGGTGGTCCTCCTGAGGCTGCGCAGGATGTTCCTCCTGCGCGGGTCCTCCCCGTCGGCCGCCTCGTAGGGGATGACGGCGTTGTCGCCCTTGTAGCAGCCCTGGGAGCTCTGCTCCTCCTCCTTCTTGCGGGCGACGGGCCCCAGCTCGTCGTCGCTGCCCAGGCTGAGGCTGGGCCGGTAGCCGGCGAAGCGGCCGAGCCGCGGGCACCGCGCCCGGTACAGGGCGGGCTTGGCGGCCGCCGGGGCCTTGCGGCCGCGCTCCAGGGAGCTCGTGTCCATCTCGCTGTCCGAGCCGTTGCCGCTGCCGTTGGACTGCGCCTTGTTGATGTTGCGGATGGTGATGATCTTGCCCTGGGTGCTGTCGTGGGGCACCGAGTAGATGTTCTCCTCCTCGCTGCGCGGCTTCACCACGGCGTCCATGGGCTCGGCGTAGTCCGAGGGGTCGAAGCAGTCGGCGGGCAGCCAGCCCGAGGAGGACACCGACCTCCTCTGCCCGTCCCGGTGGCCCTGCTCCAGGTAGGAGAGGTCGCCCTTGATGTCGAAGTGCACGGGGGGCTTGGGCTTCACCGGGGGAGGTACTTTGTTGTTCAGCTTGCTCTCGAAAGTGCTCACGACGGAGATGAAGGACAGCCCGTCGTTGCCCTCCAGCTCCATGGAGAGCTTCGAGTGGTCCTTGGGCAGGGCGGGCACGGCGGGCTCCTCCCGGAAGGGGCTGTAGCCGGGGGGCTCCGCGTCCTCCTCCGAGTCCTGCAGGTTGGAGTTGCAGAGGGGGGAGCCGGCGCGGGGCGAGTTGAACACCTCCTCGGTGGTGCTGCACGCCTCCGCCGCGTTGTCGTACATGTGGGCGGCCTCCACGATGTTCTTCTTCTCCACCACGTCCTTGAAGAAGGGCTGGAAGAGCTCCAGCTTGTGCTGGGCGGGCTGGCCGCAGGCCACGGCGGCGAAGCGCCCGTCGATCTCCTGGGCGATCTCCTCGCCCTCCGCCAGCTGCTCGCGGCTCACGTCGTTGTCCAGGATGTCGGCGGAGCCGTCGGTGAGCGCCACGAGCTGCACGGGCACGATGTCCTGCACCTCGCAGAGGAAGGCCCGCAGCACGGCCAGCGACGCCCGGCGCCGCGCCGAGTAGAGGAGGATGTAGCCGTGCACCAGGCGGCTCTTGCGCACGCCGAAGGACGCGTGGTAGGACAGCAGCGACAGCTCCGTGCGCCGCTTGTGGGGCCCCACGGGCAGCTCCAGCAGCACCGAGGAGCCGCCGCCGCTCCCCGGCGCCGGCCGGCAGGCCTGGGCCTGCAGCAGGGGCGGCAGCACGTCGTCGGCGCCGAAGGGGTCCCCGCACATGAGGCACATGACGATGCGCAGGTCCACGTCCGCCAGCTCCTTGAGGCCCGGCGTGGAGCCGACGAGGTTGAGGTTGCGCTTGGAGTCCAGCAGGCCCTTGAGCACCTGGCTGATCTGCTTCTCGTTGATGTTGCGGCCGTAGCCGATGCCGGCCGAGGCCGGGTCCAGGAAGACGCACTGGAGCTTGCTGGCGATCTGCTGGCCCTGCTGGACCAGGCTGTGCAGGGTCTCCCCGCTGGCGTCGCCCCTCTTGTTGACCAGGACGAGCGTCAGGGGCAGGTGCACCAGGTGGTTCTCCCGGCGGCCCAGGGTGGACTCGCGGCTCTTCTCGATGCTCTCCACCACGTAGGACAGCGACTCCTTGGAGTTGTAGAGGCACAGGCAGCCGTGGGGCTGGAAGGTGGGCGTCTGGAAGGCGTTGACGGGCAGCCGCACGTTGCCCTCGATGGGCCGCAGCGACAGCTCGTACATCTTGCCCTCGATGACGTACTTGTCGTCGTTGGTGCACAGCGCCCGGATCTCGTTGGCCAGCTCCCGCGCCAGCCCGTCCTTGCCCAGGATCACCAGGTTGATCCTGTCGATGTTGGAGTCCAGCAGCAGGTTCTTCTGGTTGCGCTCCGAGGGCCGGATGAAGCGGGAGCCGAGCAGCTGCTCCACCTTGGAGTCGGCGCAGCCGGGGCAGCTGGGGCACGTCTCCTTGGTGGGGTGGTACACGAAGTGGATGTGCTTGAGGATGAGGGCGTCGCGCTCGGCCTGCAGCTTCTGCAGGGCCTTGAAGCGCTGCTCCTCGCCCAGCACGTCCTGGATGACGCCCATCTTCTCCTTGCTGGGCTTGGCGTCGAGCTCCAGCTCGTAGAACAGCTCCGAGTACTCCAGGAGCAGCTCCTGGAACTCCTCCTTGGCCTTGTCTATGATCTGCTTCTGGTGCTTGCCGTAGATGTCCATGTACACGGGCTCCTCCAGCCACATGTAGAAGTCCTCGTTCATGATGAAGCTCCGAGCCTCCTCCCAGGGCTTCCCGGGCGTGATGAAGGGCGACGTCTCCAGGTTCTCCCGGAAGGCCCTCCTCATCTCCGCCCGCTTCCGCTCGTTCCTCAGCTTCTCCAGGTGGGCCTCGTAGAGCTGCTCGGCGGGCGGCGTCTCCATCAGGTCGAAGGGGATGCGCTCGTTCTCCACGTTGTCCACGTGGCTCGTGGCGTCCCAGGGCGTCTCCTCCAGCACCACGAACCACTTGAGGAAGTCGGGCTTGGCCTCCAGCAGCTTCTCCACCTTGCCCCGGCCCAGGTGGTCGATCTCGTCCAGGTCGGGGATGAGGGCGTCGAAGGCCTGGGGCAGCAGGGCCAGGTAGGTCTTGCGCCGGCGCTCGATGTGCTCCTGCTTGAGGCGGTGCACGTGCTGCAGGAAGAGCTTCTTGGCCTTCTGCGTGCCCTCCAGGTACACGTAGTCCTGGTACTCGGGCGACGGCTGCATCTTGCGGCTCACGTTGGCCCAGGCCTCGTTGTGGCTCTTGACGATGCGGCTCACGAGCCACTCGTACTTGTCCTTGGCCGCCGCGATCTGCTGGCTCTGCTGCTTCAGCGCCTCGAAGTAGGGGATGATCTTGGCCTTGCCCCGGCTCTTGTCCACCAGCTGCACCAGGGTGCTGAAGGCCAGGTCGACGTTGACGTTGGAGCGGGCCGAGGTCTCCACCACCTGCAGGTTCTTCTTGCCGAGGGCGAAGGCGTGGGCGTCGCGGATGTAGCGCTCCACGCCCTCGTCGCACTTGGTCAGCACCACCACGATGGGCTTCTTGGTCTTGGCCAGCTGGTTGTAGAGGTTCGACACGAACTTGAGCTGGTCGTCGAAGTTCCTGTTCATGCCCCGGCTGACGTCGACGCAGAGCAGGAACCCGTCCACCAGCAGCTTCCCGTCGGGCATCTGCTTCTGCTCGAAGTCCTGCTCCAGCCCCAGCTGGTCGGTGCAGAAGTACATGAGCTTCTCCGCCGACGCCAGCTTGGTGGCCGCCGCCCTCTTGATGTAGGGCTGCAGGGCCGTGCTGCGGTGGGGCTGGAAGGTCTGGTCGTCGATGAACTCCGTCTGCTCCACCACGTGCATCTTGCAGTCCACGCACTCCTCCAGCGCCCGCACCACCTCCCCCCAGTAGAGGAAGTGGTCATTGTTGACCACCCTGCCCCCGAAGTCACTGGTGCTCAGGACCGACGTGTGGTCCAGGTGGAACTCGTCGGCGCTGGGCCGCACGAAGCGGTTGCAGAGGCAGGACTTGCCGACGCCGCACTGCCCCTTCTCCTTCTCGGTGCCGGACAGCCCCACCACGCTCACGTTGTAGGTGGGAATGCGGGCGTCCTGCTTCCTGGCCATCATCATTGTCCGCTCATCATCCTGTCCCGCTCACACGCTGCTGCTGCTGCTGCTGCTGCTGCTGCCGCTGCTGCCCGGGGGGGTCGCGGCGCCCGGCGCGGCTCCGGCTCCAGGGGGGGGGGGCTCAGGGCGCCGGGGCGGGGCCGCTCCTCGTTCCCATCCCGCTGCCTCAGGCCGTGCTGGTCCCCGTCGGCGGCGTCAGGTGGCCGGTGAGTCCCCCTGGGAGAGAGAGAGAGAGAGAGAGAAAAGGAGAGATGAGAGGTGGAATCGGTGGTTCGGGGGCCGGCACCCGAATCGTGCCCGGGGGGGGGGGTTGGTACGTCCTGCACCGGGACGCCGGGGAGGGACTGGAGGTGGTGGAGAGGTGGCGGAGCCGGCCAAGGGCTCGCCGTGGTGGGCACGGCGTCACTGCACCCCCGACCACTCACTCACAGCTTCACCACCCAACCGGGGGCATGGGCACACCTTCACCACACAACCAAGGGCTCGCCGTGGTGGGCACGGTGTCACTGCACCCCCGACCACTCACTCATGGTTTCACCACCCAACCAAGGGCTCGCCGTGGTGGGCACGGCGTCACTGCACCCCCAACCACTCACTCA